TTATTTTTTTTTAAGATTTATTTTTTATTTTTATTGGAAAGGCAGATATACAGAGAGAAGAGACAGAGAGGAAGATCTTCCGTCCGATGATTTACTCCCCAAGTGAGTGCAATGGCCGATGCTATGCCAGTCCGAAGCCAGGAGCCTCTTCTGGGTCTCCCACGCGGGTGCAGGGTCCCAAGGCTTTGGGTCGTCATTGACTGCTTTCCCGGGCCTGCAACACACACGCCACTTCAGGCCCTGTATGCCCTTGGCACTTGGCCACAGGAAGGCCCTCACCAGGTGAGTTCCTAGACCTTGGCCTTGCAGAACTATGGGTCAAAGTGAGCCTCTTCTCTCTTCAGAGCAGCCTGGCTTGGCAGCGATGCACAGCTGCCATGCCTGGCCTTTCCCAGACAGGCACATTCAATCTGGCCTCCTGGCCTGCAGTGCCAGCCTGAGAGAAAGGGAGAGATTTCTGGTTCGTTTCCCCAATTGGCCACAACGGCCAGAAGCTTCTTTCAGGTCTCCCATGTGGATGCCGGGGTCCAGGCACTTGGGACATCCTGCTCTGCTTGTTCAGGCCCGTTAGCGGGGAGTTGGATTCGAAATGGAGCAGCTGGGACTTGAACCAGCATTCATACAGGATGCTGGCATTGCAGGTGGTGGCTTAACCTGGTGCTGTGCCAACCTTTTTCCCAGGGCTCAGGCTAGGGCCACTGCCAACCTCTAAGCGCATTTTTGTGTTAGAAAGTTATCACGCCACACACACACACACACACACACACACGCACGCACGCACACACACACACACGCACACACACCTCCATCACCTGGTTGACAATAGCTCCCTACCCTGACAGGGTGTCCCTTCTTGGCATGTCTCAGCTGGTGGCCCTGGGGGCATGTTCCCCCCCCTTCTGCCCCACCCCTTGCCCCATTGCAGTGGACAGAGTGCTCTGTGTGGCTGGACTCTGCGTCCACTTCTCTTCACGTTCCCTGTTGCTACTGCCTCCCCAAGGGCCCTGGCTGCTGGTGCGCAGGTACGCGGTGCAACTGAGGTCTGCGGGCCCCCTCTCTCCCATGTTCCCCACTCCAGTACCCCCGTGACTTCAAGGCCTCCTCAGCCCTCAGTGTGGCCCTGAGGCTTGGTCCTCTCCTGCACCCGGGTGCCCCTGGTCTCTGCTGGGGTGATCCCTCTTGTCCTCTCTTGACGATACCCCCTGGGTGGGCCCGGACTGCGCCTTGCCAAGGCTGCTCCTTGCCCAGGCATCTACCATCCTGGGCACGTTCAGGGTCCCGAACACTAGCAGGTTGTTGGGGGGGGTCTCATGACAATTTTCTTTTATTTAAAACAATTTTTAAGTTAGTTTTTAAAGAATTATTTTAGAGGAAAGTCAGATTTACAGAGAGGAAAGACAGAGAGGAAGATCTCCATCCATTGGTTCCCTGCCCCAGGGAGGCCACAATGGCTGGAGCTGAGCTGGTCTGAAGTCGGGAAACTTTTCTGAGTCTCCCACATAGGTGCAGGATCCCACGGCTTTGGGCCGTCCTTGTCTGCTTTCTCAGGCCACAAGCAGGGACTTGGATGGAAGTGGAGCAGGCAGGATCATGACCGTGACCAAAGTGGGATCCCAGCAGACGCAAGGTGAGGACTTCAACCACTAGGCTACCACACCGATCTTCTCACGCATCTTCAAGGCAAGAGAGAAAGCCCAATTTTCAGTGTCAATGAATTAAAGATCTATTAAATCATGTTTTTTCTTCTTTCATAGAGGAACACACTAGAAGGCAAAAGGACCCAGGAAGCCGGACACAGCTCTGACTGCAGCTGGTCCCCAGCTGGTCCCCAGCCATTTGGGAGGCCAGAGCTGGGATTATCAATACTTTAAAGATTTCATTTTTATTGGAGAGGAAGCATCAGAGAAAAGGACAGAGACCTTCCATCTGCTGGTTCACTCCCCAAATGGCCACAGCTGAGCCGACCTGATGCCAGGAGCCTCTTCTGGGTCTCCCATGCAGGTTCAGGGCCCCAAGGACTTGAGACATGTTCAGCTGCTTTCCCAGGCCACAGGCAGGGAGCTGGATGGGAAGCGGAGCAGCTGGGACACAAATTGGCATCCATATGGGATGCCGGCACTCCAGACACAGGCTTAACTTATTATGTCATGGTGCCGGCCATATTTAGAACATTTTTTAATTATCATTTTGGTTTACTGGAAAGGAAGTGAGAGAATCTTTCATCGGCTGGTTCACTCCAACGGCCGCAGCGGTCAGGACCGGGCCAGGCCACAGCTCGGACCAAGAGCTTCCTCTGAGTCTCCCACATGGGTGCAGGAGCTCAAGCACTCGGGCCATCCTCTGCTGCCTCCCAGGTGCATTAGCGGGGAGCTGGCTCAGAAGAGGAGCGGCCAGGACTCGAACCAGTGCACACGGAAGATGCCAGCACCACCTACTACAGCACAATGTGGCTCTGACCCCTCCTCCCGCCAGGGGAGAGACAATGGTGCCGGGTAAATAATACTGTTAAATTAAATAATAAAGCAATAGCTGGGTTATTATTATTTAAAAGATTCATTTATTTGACAGGCAGTTACAGGAGAGGCTGAGAGAGAAAGAGAGAGAGATCCTCCATCTGCTGGTTCATTTCCCAAGTGGCTGCAGCAGCCAGGGCTGGACCAGGCTGAAGCGGGCAGGCAGGAGCTTCATTGGTGTCTCACGTGGCTGCTGGGGTCCCAGTACCTGGGCTAGCTGCTGCTTTTCCAGGTGCACTGTCAGGGAGCTGGATGGGAAGTGGAGCAGCCAGGACTTGAACCGGTGCCCACATGGCATTTCTGCACTACAGGTAGTGGTTTAACATGCAGGGCCACAAAGCCATCGCCCCCCTTTTTCTTTTTGTTTTATTTTATTGTGGGGTTATTGTTGGGTCTTTGCACCCCAGGCCAGGCCCTCAGGGCTGGCTAAGTCCATGCTCACTGCTAGTGGACAGGCACCCACGCAGCGGGCTGTCTGGGGCGAGGCTTCTCACTTCACCAGCTCCTTTCTGCACTGGACTGCAAGGCTTCCTGCTGCCGGGGGTTGCCGCCAGGACAAGCTGGCCCTGGGACAGATGGGGGGACACCACACGCGCAGCTGGGAGCTAGTCCTGAGGCCTGCAGGGTGCAGGCCAGGAGGGGGAGGCAGAGGTGGTTCAGCTTGAGGGGAACACACAGTCCCCCTAGCGGGACGCGCGCGGGGAGGACCGAGACCAGCGCGTTGTCACAGCGCCGCCCAGAGCCCCGTTTGCTTCGCTAACTCACAACTAAACTGGACGCCAGCACTGGGCCCTTCTGTCTCCCTTTGGGTCCCTGGATTTTTTTTTTTTTTTTTTTTTACCAGACACACCGAAACAGTGTGAAAGCCAGGTCCCAGACTTGGGGTCCAGTCCTTCCTAGCACCCCAGCAGCAGTAGGGTACAGGTCCCCAAGGAGGGGTTACAAAGAGCCGTTCTCCCGATACCGGCTGGGATGCCTCTCGCAGGCCTGTCACGGAGACCAAGGCAGAGACGCGCCACCTCGGAGGGTGCCCGAAGCTGCGGGGCACTTGAGGAATCTTAGTTCCTGTCGCTTCACCTTCGTCACTTTGGGTTCTCTGGGTTCCAGGTCACGAATGAGCTCCCGCCGCTCCCACAGGGCCCTATGGGTGCCAGTGGCATCAGCCGTGGGTGGGCGCCTGTCAAGTCACGGTCTAGCTGTCCCGTGGCTGCAAGCTGGCGCACCGTAGGTGCTGGGGGAGCGATCGGCTTGAACGGGTCTCCTCTGGCCCCCCTCCCTTAGTAATGGGACCTTGCGCAGCAAGGGACCCCCCTCCCCAGCCCGCACCCTGTCATTCGGCTCTCCAAGGATCGCCTTTGTTGTGGGCGCGCAACCACAGGCGCGCAGAGCACCTGCTCTTGGGAGGAAGACCCCGGGCTGCCGCAACCCCCGCCCATCTTGGGGGGAGTCCCTCCTTATCTTCGCTTCGGGGCCGGGTGGGGGAACCCCACAGTCCGCAGCCGGGATCCGCCCAGCGCTTCCCAGCCGCGCTGACCGCGTTCCCAGGTGCCTGGAGCAGGGGGGATCCGGGCTGCGCCAAGGGCCGCCGCGCCAGGCGCCCCCCGGCAGGAGCCTGAGTCACCGCCGCGCGCCCGAGCTCCACCCGGCTTCCAGCCCGGGGTCCGCACAGCCGGCCGCTGCCCCGCGCGCCCCTCTCGCCCCGGCCCGAGCCACCACCCTGCGCCCTGGCCGGCGCCCGGGGCGCCTCGCCGGCCCCTCCCATGGAGAAGCCCGTGCCGCCAGCGCTCCGGGCGGCTCCCGCGGGAGGGGGCGCGGCCGCCCCCGCGCGCGGCTCCACCCTCTCGCCGGGGCCGCCGCCAGCTGGGGCCCCTGCCAGTCGCGCCCGCCCCGGGGCCCGCTCGCGCCGGAGGAGGCAGCAGCCCCGGGCGGGGACCCTGTCCTTGCGCCCCGCGCCTGGCCGCCGCCCCCCCGGCAGCCAGCCCAGCCTGCGGCCCCGAGCCCCGGGGGCTGACATGCCCCGAGGGGGCGGTGGCGGCTGCCCGCCGAGTCCCGGTGCGAGCGCGTCGCCGCGGACGCCCCTGGTCACCTCGGTGACCCTTGGGGAGCCGGGGACCCGAGTCCCAGGGGCGGCGGCGGCGGCGGCGGCAGCGGCGGCGGCGGCGCGGGGCCGCGAGATCCGGGCTCCCCGCGTCCGGAGCGGCCGCCGGCTGCGCAGCTTCGGCCGGGCTCCCGGCCTCGCGCCTTTCGCCCCCAGCCCCCCGCGAGCTGGCAGGAGGAAATAGCGCGCGGCCCCTTTAAATTTACCCAGGAGCCCTTCAAGGAGCCCCAGGGGCCCCAGACAGGAATCCCCACCCCGGTGCAGCCCGCGCCCGCCGAGCCAGCAGCCGGAGCCGTCCGTGCGGCCGGCCGCGCCGTGCATGCGCCCCGCGCCCCGCGCGCCCCGCCTGGGCCGCCGCCGCCGGGGGGCCCCGCGCCGCCGCGCAGCGCATGGAGCCCGGCGGGGACCACCGGAGCCGCAGCAGCAGCAGCAGCGGCGGCGGCCCGGGGCCAGCAGTGGCCTCGGCGCGGGGCCGACGGCTGCCGCCCGCAGGATCGAGCGGCGGCGGCGGCGGCAGCGGCAGCGGCGGCGGCGGCGCCGACCCCGAGGAGGAGAACGACGGCGGTAAGCGGCTGCGGCCGGCCCGGGGCGGGGGGCCCCGGCGTGGGGGAGGGGAGGGCTCCGGGCCCCCTCGCCGCCGCCGCCGCCGAACAAAGGGGGGGACCCGGGCCGGGCGGCCGGGGGCGCCACCTGGCGGGCGCGGCGCGCGGCTGCAGGGGCTGGCGGGGGGCCCTGCTCCCGGGGTCCCCCTCCTCTCCTGCTCCAAGGGCCCCCCGCGGCCGTCGGCTGAGGGCGCGTGGCCCCCCGCGCCTTTCCGACTCCCTGAGGGGCTTTGTCGCCCTGCCCGGATAGACCCCCGCCACACGCACACACACACCCCGTGCCCCCTTCGGGGTGTGTGGGTGGGTCTGTGGGCGCTTGGGGGACCCTGAGCTCCGAAACTCCGCCGCTTGACACCGGGCTGCGCCGAGGCGCGAGCCCCTTTCCTGCCCCCCACGTTCTCCCTCGGCAAGAGCGCGGCTTGGCCCCGGGAGACCCCGCCGCCGCCCTAGGCGGGCCGTTTCCAAGCGGGTGTGTTCGCGTCCAGCCCTGAAGGCGGACCCCCCTCCGACCCGCGCCTTCCCTCGCTCCTTTCCAGAATTCTTTGCTTGCCCCCCCCCAGTGGGGACCCAGCGGCCCCCAGTGCCTGCTTTGCTCCCCGTGGACACCCTGCCGGGTGGCCGCCCAGGACCCCCGGTGCAGGCCGGGGGACCCCCTGCCCGCCCACCTCCTGGACGCTCCCCCAGCCCCTTTTGTTTTTAAAGGAATCTCAGCTCCTCCTTTTTGATTTCGGCCCTTAAAGGGCCCGTCCACCTTCGGGGAGCCCAGATCCTGAGCTGGAAGGATGCTTAGACGCCAGCTAGCTGTCCGGCGCCTGTGTAGACAAAGAAACCTAGTCCCAGAGGCCCCTGAGCAAGTTCCCAGGAAGTCAGGACTCGAACCCTGGCCTCTGACAGAAGCCAGGCTTTGCCCCTGTGGCTCTCTGAGTAGCAGACACAGTGAACAGAGCCACAGACAGAACGCTGGCGCAACCCCCTCCCGTCTTTGTCTCCTTCCGGGATTCTCCACTGGGGAATGACCAGAACCTGCCCTTGGCCATCTCTAGATGGATGGCTAGGGGGCTGTCCCCCCCTCAGCGCCAGTCCCCCAATCTTGTTTGACAAACCGAACACCACTGGGTTTGTGGGGCCTCTCCGGTACCCGTCCTGCTGATGGCTGGGCAGAAAATCAATACCGACTTAAAGGGCCCCGGTGGAGGCTGGTGGACGTGGCCATGCGGAGGGCCGTCCTGGGGGTCTGGGCTCCCCCCAGCCCTGGGGGGACACCCTGCTCCCAGGCCCTCGGGCTGTGGGCCACTTTGTTGGGGCGGTCCTTCCCTTGTGTGTGTGTGTGGGACATTCCTTGCTCAGCCCATCCCTAAAGGGAGACCCCTGGGTGGGGCCGTGCTGGCCGCGGGCCCCGGGCGGGTGCGGCCCCTGGACAGGCCTGGATGCAGACAGATGGCCCCTTTTGTTGCTAGTGGGGCCCCCACTGCCTGCTTCGCGCCGGCCGCAGCCACCCCAGCCTGCTGCTCTCCCTGAGCCCTGGACCAGCAAGGCCACCTTCCGTGCTGACCACTGCTGCCTCCTCAGCTCTCCTCGAGGGCAGCCTGCCCAGCTGGGCCGCCTCACATCCTTTTGTTCTTCCTTCGTCCTTAAAGGGTCCTCACTCTTTGTACAGGGCTGGCCGCCCCTCCTGTATGCCCTCTGCCACAGCCGCCCCGCTTCCTTCTTGTCCCCTGACCCTCCCACTCCCCACCATGTGCCCAGTGCCCACTTTTTCCGTAGCCTTCTAGAGTCAAATCCCAGGTCCTGTCCCTGGGGTCTAGGGATTGAAAATCTGTCTTCCTCTCCCCTTCTTCAGGGCCAGATCTGCAACTGGAAGGGGGTGCCTTGGGGTCCTGGGGGAGTGCCCCCCTGCCTTCCTCTAGGGCCAGGGGCCCCGCCTCTTCTGGCAGGAAATACTCAGACCACTGCGAGGCCCGGGCCTCGAGGCCGGGCAAGAGCCGCATCCCGGGCCGCGACCACCGGCGCTACTACCACGACCACTGGCGGCTGGAGTACCTGATGGACTTCAACCCTGCGCGGCACGGCATGGTGTGCATGGTGTGCGGCAGCTCGCTGGCCACGCTCAAGCTCAGCACCATCAAGCGCCACATCCGCCAGAAGCACCCCTACTCCCTGCACTGGAGCCCTCGCGAGAAGGAAGTTATCAGCAACAGCTGGGACGCCCACCTGGGGCTGGGGGCCTGCGGCGAGGCCGAGGGCCTGGGGGCGCAGGGACCAGAGGAGGAGGAGGAGGAGGAAGAGGAGGAGGAGGAGGAGGGGTCCAGCCTCCAAGCTTGTCCACCCAAGGGCCCAGGTAATTCAGGGGTCTGCTGGGTGCCCTTGTACGATAGTGATGGGGGACGACAGGAGGTCTCTGAGGGGAGGGGAGAGGTGGGGAGGTCATGCAGGGGAAGGGCTGGCCGAGTGCAGTCCCCCCCAAGGGGCCAGAATCTTGCAGGATTGGGGAAAGGAAGGGAAAGTGAGGTCCCAGCTCGGGGGGAGGGGAGCTCCCCAAAGCCCTCCCCCTTTCCCCCCTCAGTTCCTTCCCTCCCTCCGACCCTTCCAGGCAAAGCCCCTGCTGCGGGGGGCTGCCGGCGTCCAGGGGCAGCGCAGCGCTCCCCGAGGGCCAGGGCCAGCAGGGGGCTGGGGGCGCAGCGCCTGGAGTGGAGGCTGAAGGAGTCGCTGCAGAGCTGGTTCCGGGCGGAGTGTCTCATGGACTATGACCCGCGGGGGAACAGGCTGGTGTGCATGGCCTGTGGCCGGGCGCTGCCCAGCCTGCACCTGGAGGACATCCGAGCCCACGTGCTGGAGGCCCACCCCAGCTCCCTGGGGCGCAGCGGCCCCCAGCGCAGCGGCCTGCTGCAGGCCTGGGGTGGCCAGCCCCCCGAACTGGCGGAGCTCGTCCAGCCCCCACCAGGTGCGCGGCAGCCCCTGGGCTCAGACACCCTCCACCCCTCCTATTAGGGCTGCAGCATTGGGGCACACACACACACACCCTGGCGGGGCGCTGACGTGGGGCTGGGGTGAGGCGCAGACCCCCTTCCCTCCGCCCCTCCCTGCCCTTAGAGCAACCCAGCCGGCAAGCAGGCTGAGCCCCTCTCCCTCACCCCTTCCCCAACAGACGATGACCTCGCCCCCCAGGACCTGACCAGAAAGAGCCGGCACTCGGCCCCCGCTGCTGGAGCCCCCTCCTCTCAGAATCTCAGCCCCTCAGATGTAAAGGAAGAGGCTGGCTGGGCCCCTGAGAGGTCCGGGCCGGCTGAGGAGGCGCGGGCGCAGGAGGCGCAGGAGGAGGAGGAGGAGGAGGAGGGCCAGGGGGCGGGAGGCCGCCGCTACAAGGAGCGCTGGCGGCTGGAGTACCTCCTGGAGCTGGACGGCGGCCGGCGCGGCCTCGTGTGCCTGGCGTGCGGGGGCGCGCTGGCCTCGCTCAAGATGAGCACGATCCAGCGGCACATCCGCCGGCGCCACCCGGCCTCGGCGCGCCTCGGCGGGCCCGCGCAGGCCCTCGTCGCCCGGGAGTGCAGCAGCAAGGCCGCCCGCCAGCCCGCAGCCCCGGCGCTGCCCGGCCCCGAGTCGCCCCGCCGCCCCCGGCGCCCCGCCGCCCCCGGCGCGGCCGCAGCCTCCGAGCAGGGGGGAGGGCCCGAGGAGGAGTGGTGGGGTGAGCCGGGGAGCCAGAGCAGGTGGCCGGGCAGGGCGTGGGAGGAAGGGGCGGCAGGACGCGGGGAGGGCGCGCTGCGTGGGGGTGGGGAAGGGCGCGGGACCGAGCGCGGCAGGCCTGCCTCCCCGCTCCACCGGCGCCAAAGGGCTTCCTTTGTCCCTTCCGTCCCTTCAGGCGACAACCGGCTCTCCCCCGGCGCTGCGTTCGAGCGGCCTGCTGAGGAAGAGGAGGATGAAGAGGATGGCCAGGAGCCCGGGGGACTGGCTTTCCCGCCCCTGCCGCCGCCTCCGCCGCCCCCGCCGCCGCCCCCGCCGCCCCGCAGCCGGGAGCAGCGGCGGAACTACCAGCCGCGCTGGCGGGGCGAGTACCTGATGGACTACGACGGCAGCCGGCGCGGCCTGGTGTGCATGGTGTGCGGGGGCGCGCTGGCCACGCTCAAGGTGAGCACCATCAAGCGGCACATCCTGCAGGTGCACCCCTTCTCCATGGACTTCACGCCCGAGGAGCGCCAGACCATCCTGGAGGCCTACGAGGAGGCGGCGCTGCGCTGCTACGGCCACGAGGGCTTCGGGCCGCCGGCCCCGGCGCCTCGCGACGGCGGGGCGGACCTCAAGCCGGGCGCTGTGTGCCGGGCGTAGGGGGGGACACAGGGTGCCTGGGCCCAGCCCTCCCGGCTGAGAGACCCTCGCGCCAGATGCGAGCACTTCCGCCGCCACGGCCTGGACCACTGCGGCGCGCCTCCCGAGCCCCCCCGCTGGCCGGGCAGGGCGCAGGATGCGGGGCGCCCCCAGGCCCATCCCTGCGCTGCGCACACGCCCTCTCCCCTGGGCCCTGGATCCCCTCCCCCTGTGTCCCCTCCACCTCGAGAAGCCGAAGCGGCCTCCCAGTGTTAGCATGGAGCGCTTTCCAGCCTCTGCCCGCCCCCAGGCGATCCCGCGAGGACCGACCCGGGTGCGGGTGCCAAGTGTCAGTGTTAAGGCCGGAGGAGAGGGTGCAGGGAGGGCGGGAGGACTCCCCGGCCCCTTAGCCTGGCCGGGGGCCCAGTTCCCTGCATGCAGCCTTGCACGCCTGCAGCTGGGCTGGCCCCGGAGCTGGACTGGATGCGCTGGCCTCATTGGTATTCTGGCCTCTCGGAGGCCCCGGCTGCCGACAGGGGCTTGCGGCGGGAGGCGGAGCGCTGGGGCGGCGCGCAGAGCCCCGGCGGGCTGGGCGGGCACCGTGCCCAGGCTCCACCCGCAGCGCCCAGCCCTACAGGTCGCGGGGAGAGATTAGCACTTTTTTTTTTTTCCCTTTGCTCCTCTCCTGCCCCGAGGGCTCCCGTTCACCGCTAAGCGCAGAGCTGGACGCTCTTGCCCCAGTGCCCGAGGCCAGGACCACTGGCTTTGCAACTCCCCCGCCAGGTCCTTTGGTGTGGCCCTCTGCACGCGTGGTGGACGCGCCCGCTCTCAGCCCCCAGGCCTGGGCCGGGTCTCCGCCAGGCCCGCCATCTCCCAGGCAGGTCCAAGAGGGATGCGCAGATTCTCCCGTGGAGAACTGGCGGCCCCGCCTTTAGGCTTTTTTTTTTTTTTTTTTTTGCTTTGTATTTTATTTTGAAACTGTATTTAATGCTTTTATATGAAAAGGGGGAGGGGCAGAGAGCTGACCCAATCTCCCTGATGTGCAAATGTCTTATTTATTATGCGTGTATCAGAGATAAGCTGTGAGGTGGAGAAGGAAGTCCGGCATGGAAAGGGTCTGGACCTTTCCTGCCTGCCCCTGGGCCCCAGCGAGGCGAACTGCAGGGACAGTTGGGGCAGGAGGCCAGCAGATGGGGCTGGAGGGTGGGACACGGGCAGCTACTGCTGGCCAGCCTGTGTAGGTGGGAAAGCAGGCGGCGAGGACCAAGGCCCCTTGCCCAACCTTCCCTGCCTTCCCGGGCCAGAGCCCAAGGTTCAAGTGCCTCAGGCCCAGCCCCCTTGACTCTTCCTGGTTGGGAGTTGGATTTTATACACGAATTTTATAGCATTTTTATATAACTCGGAATAAGAGTCGGAAGGGACCCTGGAGAACACTAGCACCCCTCCCCTGCCCCCACCCTGCCTGCAGAAAGGTGAAGTGAAGCTCAGAGGAGCAGGCACTCAGAGCCAGGTTGGAGCAGTAGAGGATTAAAGGAAAGCTCTCCGTCACTCCCAGTTAGGGACTGTGGCACCACACCGCCCCATCCCTCACTGGCAAGGTACTGAGAAAAGGGCTGCTTGGTGCAACCTAAGGCTGCTTCCTGCAGGGCTGGGGGGCCGATCAGTGCAGCGGTGGTTCCTGGGGCCGTCACAGGGCGGCGCCCTTCCTGGAGCGAGCAGGCTGAGCTCCAGCAGCCCTGGGTGCCACCTGGCGCAGCCCTCCCACCACGCCTGCCCAGCAGGACCCTGGTCGGCCTTCTGTGTTCTTTGTGGATGAGGCTGCCAGGAATTCAAGGAAGGCAGCCGGTGGACTTGGAGTGCCCGAGCTCCCTGCAGGTGTGAGCCTCTGGGTTTCTGAGACAGTATTAACGGCATTCCCTCCCTCACCCCCCTTCCTTCACTGCGTTGTTTTCAGACCCAAAACGAGTGTTACTTTTTTCTGCTCTCCATTCAAAAACAGTAGGCAAAATGGCCAACCGATTGTAGTGCCCGGGCCCACTGCCAAAGTTCAGGTAAGCCTGGGCGGAGAGCAGGTTAGGGCTGGCTGGCCCCTCGAGAGACAGGGGTGGGTGTCTTTGGAGACAGCTCCCTCCCTGCAGCGGCTGGCACAGAGCTCCCCAGGTCAGCAGCAGCTTTTTAGGGACGTGCAGGGAATGCCAGTCCCTGGTGCCCACCCCAGGTTTGCAGTGAGAAGCTGGGGTGGAGCCTGGCCGTCCATTGCCATAAGCCCTCTCTGGGATTCCGTTGGAGCTCAAGTTCCGGACACGCGATGGGGGAAGGGCCCGCGGCCAGCGTCCCACTGTGACCTCGCGGATCTGGGGTCCTCATCCCTCGGTGGGCCTCCTTGCGTTGGGACTGACAGGTGATGTATCTTCATCCTTTTTGGTTGTTGCTAATGATATGCCTGCTATTCTCACCCATATGTAAATGTTACTCTGAATACATATTTATACTCCATGGTACTTAGTGACATTACTCCAGCATTTGTATACGTATTTGTGAAGTTGTTTGCATCAGTCATTTAACAGTGGTTTCTGCCTATGTTCTCGAAGAGGGATGTGCATTTTTGAAGTCTGCGGGAGGGGTCCCAGCAGCCTCCGCGCGGGGAGAAGCCGGGCAGAGGCACCGAGCTCCTGGGGAGGCTGCATCCCGGGGCCCCTTCCGCTCCTCATCGCCCGTCGTGGTTACCACATGCACAGCCCAATGCCGGCATTCTCCCTCGTGTTTTCAAAGCCCCCTAGATGGAGGGAGTGGAAGCCATGATTGGTTTTTTCTTTATCCAAACTGTGTATAAAGAATAAAGCTAGCAGGACAGCATGGCCAGTGTGTTTTGTCTTTATTAATACCACATCAGTTTGCAGTTGTACAGGACCAGAGTCGAGCGCCAGAGGGCTACTTTATTATTACACTGCACGTACACGCACGGTTTCATTAGTCATGGTATCATCTATAGGTTTGTCCTTAAAAAAAAAAAAATCCTGTGTGACACAATGATCTCTCCAATGATCTCAACATAGCAGCAACAGAAGAGAGCCGGTGTGGGGCTGCCAGGGCAGGGGCTCCGGAGGGATGCCCAAGGATACAAGGGCGGGTCACTTCTGGGAGGGGGCGGACAGCGCCTTTCCCACTGTGATGGAAGTTGGCAGGGCAGTGGGGCTAAGCAAAGAAAAGGGAGTAACACAGAGGCCCTCTCACCTTTAACTAACTTCCCAAAAGAGGTGGGCAGTTCCCTGCCACCAGCACAGCCAGTAGCCCTCAGGAAAGTTGTTGGTCCCTCCGTGTGGCCATGATTACGTCTTACAAGCCAGAAGGAACTTACAGATGGTTTTCTTTCAAGGTCATTCAATTTTTGTGGGGAAGGGAAGAAACTTGTCCCTCCTGTGTACACAGGCATCAGCGCACTGCCCTGAAACTTGTAGAATACACTCCCTATGCGTGCACCCTGGGCCAGGGCAGAGGTGCTAAGACACCTTACGTGCCTGAAAATGAGGCGGTGCCCCCCAACCACACGGCGCCGTGGGCTGGCGCCAAGCACTGGACACCACCCGTGGCCCACGGAACACGGCCAGGTGCTCACGGGTGGCCGCGCGAGCAGAACCACAGCTCGACTGCGGGAGCCCAACTACTCGACAAGTTCTACAGACGCGGCCTGAGATGGGGGAAGACAAGCGGAGGGTCTTCTTGGGAGACTGCCCGCCACGGACTGAGGGTCACAGGGACGCAGGAAGTGGGGAGCCCACATGCAGCTTATTTTTTTCTCTAACAAGTTTACAGCAGTTACAGACATTTATTTCATAATAAGAAAAGTACAACCATATTTATTAAAGGGAGGGCAGGTGGATGGGGAGGAAAGAAAGCATGCCCAGGAATGAGTTCTCCAACTTCCACTCAGAACCGGTCCGAGAGCCCAGCCCGGGGCCCTTCCTGCCCTCCAGGGACGGGGCCTGGCCGCTCCCTCCACTCTGGGAACCAGGAATCCTCATGAGCCCCTGCTCTGCTCAAGGAGGTATCATGAAGTGGGGAAGGGGTTGTTAGAAATAGCTGCTGACCAGGCAGGGTGGGAAGGAGTCCCAGGGCTCCAGGAGAGCCCAGGGGAGGGATCTCCCGCCCCCAATTAGCTTCTCGATAAGTTAATCATTACTCCTGAACTTAGAAATAAGGACAGAACTCTAATGGGAAGCTGTGTGGGCCTCGTCCTTGAGAACCGGAGAGAAGGACCCAAGAGGCTGGGCACCTCGCTTGCTTCGCCGTTGCTGCCCATCGTGCCCGTGTTGGGGCAGGGAAGAGCTCGCCCAGCAGGACGTTACTGACCCACCCTACTAATCTGATTCTTCCTTTATTCTTCTGAGTTCTAAGATAGCAGTTCTTTCAGTCCAACATTTCTTGTGCTTGATACTAAGGGCACAGGGAAGGGAAGGAAGGGAGAAAACACCAAATGAGAAAACAAAGCTTGGAGTGCAGGCTCAAGCTGACACTGGGCACGCGCCTTCGGGGCACGAGGAAGGACGTTACAACTATGATGTGGGGTTTAGTAACTGTTGTGTTTCTGGCTTCCACCTGCTTATTCCGCCTTTTTCTTGGCAATTCCGGGGAGCTTTGCTTGGATCCTAGTGAGAAAAACAAAACGAACAAAACGGAAGTGAAAACGCAGTATTTGTCCTAGGTTTCCATGTTGACAGCGATGCTGGGCCTGCTGGAGCAATGGGAGTCGGCTGTGTGAGAAGAGGTGACAGCTGAGCCTGGCTCGGGACAAGCCTGGGGTCGGCAGGGGCGGGGGAGGATCTGGAAGGATCCGCCAGTACCGCCTCGCTCCCTCACTCGGAGCCCAAGGGGGCAGCGGGCCACGCCCTGTGGCACAGGGACTACAGGTCTTGGATTTAAGGAGTCAAAGACTGGCTAATGATTCATGATTTGATTAAAATACCAACTGACTTGGTAATCTTAGAAAAAGGGATATTTTTGAGACTTGAGTTGCAATGTTTGCTGAAGAGGACGGAGACGTGTACACAGAATGAAGGCGGGGAAGTAACCCAGGGCATTGGGCACCTGCTCGGGAGGGCACCTGCTCGGGAGGGCAGCGTGGTCTCACTCCGACCGATGCAGTGCAACCCGAGGTACCAGAGGCTTTGGAAAGGCAGCCAACTCACAGTAAAATCATCCCTCATTTTTCAGGACGGAAATTGCTTTCTTTAGTATCAACATGTTACGGGGAACGGCATCCACTTACAGAACAAAGTCCATGCCCCTCCCGTACTTACTTTTCAACAATCGACTTGGTCTGCTCCCGGGCAATGCCAACGTAGTGGTCGATCTGGGTCTAGGAAGGACAGATGGCAGATTCAGCTGTGCCAACATAGAACAGTGTTCCCGAAGGCACTGTTACTCTGTCTCATCCGAGTATTTTTAAACACTATTACATATTTTGGAAAATGAAAACAATGCTGAATCTTCTTAAAAGCTTTTTTTTTTTTTGGCAAAATCTCCGGTTTAGGGGCCGAGGTTGCCTGCCCCCCACATCAGAGTGCCTAGGTGTGGGGCCAGCACCCACAGGGGCATTGGCTGGAGTTGTAGATGCTCCATTCTGCTCCAGCTCCCTGCTAATGTGCCTGGGAGAGCAGTGCAGGTGGCCAGGTCCTTGAGCCCCTGCCCCCTCGAGGGAGACCTGGATGAAGTTCTTGGCTTGTGGTTCTGGTTTCGTCCTGCCCTGGCCTTTGTGGTCATTTAGGAAGTGGGAGTGAACCAGCAGATGGAAGATCTCCCTTTCAACCCTTTCAAATGAATAAGCTGACTGCAGCATTTTGGCTAATGCACACTGCGGAGGCGGCAGGGATGGTTCAAGTGGAGCCAACCCTGCCACCTACATGGGACTGTAGGTGGGTCCTGGCCCAGCCCTGCCCACTGGGCAGCACTGAGGGACCATGGTGGGTCATCAGATGGAAGTATCCTCAAACAACCAACCAAACAACAAAAGAAAAGATGCCTTTGGTTTCAGACTTCAGATTATCCCACACCTTGCTGAAGTGGAAATCACTTCCCTCCTGCAGAAGTGTGTGGTGGTGCTTTCTGTCTGGGACCTTGGGATGCAGCACTGTCCACGTGCTAGCACCCATCACTGTGTGAGCTATAGTCACACATGTTATAGCCCTCACGGAACACCAAGGACCAAGGAGTCCCACACTGTAACTGAAGCGGCTGCTTGTGATGTTGGTGCCCCACGTCACAGTGCCGGCTCGAATCCTAGCTGCTCTGTTTCTGATCCAGCTTCCTGCTGGGGTCCCTGAGAAGACCCTGGAAGACGGCCCCACCTGCCTGTTACAAACCAGTATGTCAAAGATGACCCCTATTTCTCTCTCTCTAGCTATCCTTTCAAATAAATAATTAAATCTTTCAAAAAAGAAAAGCCAAAACAACCTTATACATCCTGTTACTCTGTGCACATCATCTCAGTTTATAAGCTATTAACTTCGACAGATAAGGGAATCTAAATTCTTTTCGGACACCCAACTATTATTGGCTAAGCACCTTTTAAAATTAACAGATAATATGTCCAAGTGATAAAAGCTCAAAAGATGGGTCTGATGTGATGGCTCAAGTGGCTAATCCTCCTCTTCAAGAGCCAAGATCCCATATGGGCACTGGTTCTAATCCCGGCCAGCTCCCTGCCTGTGGCCTGGGAAAGCAGCCCAGAGCCTTGGGACCCTGCACCTGCGTGGGAAGAAACTCCTGGCTCCAATTTTCAGATTGATTCAGCTCCCGCCCCTTTGGTCACTGAGGAGTGAACCAGCAGATGGATGATCTTCCTCTCTGTCTTTCCTTCTCTGTAAATCTATTTTTCCAATAAAAATAAATCTTAAACAAAACAAAACAAAAAACAATCCAAAACCAATAACAACAGGAAAATTCACAAGGCACATCATAGATTACGAAAAGGGTGTGTTTCTCCAGAGCTCCTACAGTGGGGTCCCAGAGGCCCTGGGCGACAAAGTGGGGGAGGGGTCCCAGAGGCCCTGGTTGACGAACTGGGGGGTGGTCCCAGAGGCCCTGGGCAATGAACTGGGGGGTCTCAGCGGCCCTGGCTGATGAACTGCGGGTCCCAGAGGCCCTGGGCAATGAACTGGGCTGTGACAGGCACGTGCAGAGCAGACCCGGCTTACCTTGTACTTCTCATACACAATCGGGACGCTGAACACAAGGAGCTCGGCTGCAAGACACGATCAGGGCCGTGGTTAGGCTCAGGGAGACACAGCTTCCCCAAAGCACGAAAGCCTGCCTAGGCCTCACACTGAAGGGCAAGCAGATAAAAGGAGCTGCTGCAGGGTACCAGGGAGTCCCAAGGGCACCAGGGAGCTGCTGCAGGGCACCAGGGAGTCCTGAGGGCACCAGGGAGTCCTGAGGGTACCAGGGAGCTGCTGCAGGGTACCAGAGAGTCCTGAGGGCACCAGGGAGTCCCAAGGGCACCAGGGAGCTGCTGAAAGCTCACAGGCCACTTTTTTACAATTTAAGTTACAAAAAAAAGGTCACCGTAAACTAAAGTTCTCACATTTAAGTCAAAGGAGAAGCTAGACAATTCTTTACTTCCAGTTGTCTTAAAGGTTCAAAGTCTCTGAGGGGTCTTATGGCTGGGCTGGGGCTGGCTTTGTGGTGAAGCAGGCAAGGCATCTGCCTGCAGAGCCAGCATCCCATGTGGGTGCCAGTTCGATTCCTGGCTGCTCCACTTCTGATGCAGCTCTCTGCTAATGTGCCTGGGAAAGGAGCGGAGGATGGTCCAAGTGCTCGGGCCCTGGCACTCAGGAGGGTGACGCAGAAGAAGCTGCCAGCTTCAGCCTGGCAGGGCACTAGGGCACTAGCCCTGGCTGTTGCGGCTACCTGGGGAGCAAACCGGCACACAGAACGCCTTTCTTTCTGTAACCCTGACTTTCAAATAAAAAAAGACTGGGCTATGCTGTACACCTCTCTTTTTATTTTTACAAATGACGACAAAGGGCAGTGCTTTTCCTTGCCATCTTACCTAAAATCAGAAGGGTGATTCCGTTAAAAACAGCGCCGACATAGGTCATCAGCCACATGAAGACAGCCAGCTGTGAAGGTCAACATCAGAGGGTTAGACAGGAGCAAGCGCGGGGCGACATGCCGGCTAAGTAGGTAACGCATCCCCCTCTCCTTCAGCTCACTTAGCGCACACGCAGGCAGTGACAGGCCACACTTCCCGCCGCGCCTTCCCCACCTGCACACATCTGAGGGTGTTGAGGGCATGTCGCTCTGTTACACTCAGGTCTGCACCTGTCACGTTGCACTACTTGATGCATGTCTCCCGGGGGAAGCAGGTGAAGATCGGGTATCCGATTCTGACACAGACCTGTGTCCTGTGGTCCTGCTGAATGATAACCTGGCCCCTGGCCTGGAGCTGAGAGGAGGATAACCAGAGGGAAGGGCTGAGGCAAGCTTTTCTCCAACCTCCTCAGGACACTGGAATTCCTGGTCCCCAGTGCCAGCCACAAAACTTATGAATATCACTCTACTTCGCTCCCATCTTTCCTGCAGCCAGCTGGCCGTGAAGGAATTCTGAGCAGCATGGGCACTTAGGGCAGGGGGGAGGATGCTGCCTGGGATGACTGCAGCCCACATCAGCGTCCTGGGTTTGAGTCCCTGCTCAGCATCTGAGTCCCACCTCCGGTTACTGCACAGCCTTGGAGGCAGTGGGTGCTAGCTCAGTACTTGGGTTCCTGGTTGTTCTGGGAAACTGAGGAATGAGCCAGCAACTGAAACATGGAAGAGCTCTTGTCTCTTTGACTTTCAAACAAATACAAATAACAGAAAATTGAAGTAAAAGGTTCTTTAAGAACATTCTCTGGCCTTCGTCTAACGGACCTTCTTTGTCCAGTCTTCTTTCTGCATGGCTGTCCCCGTTTCCCTGAACCCAATCACCGAAGCAGAGATGGGGTCTTCACCCAAGGGTGCCCACGTCCCACAAAGCCAGGATCCAACGTGTGTTCTGCCCGGGTCAGCACCCTGCTGAGCGCTGAGTGACTGACCTTCAAGGAATCGACGAGGTCCTCCACCAGGAAGAGCCGGACGATGAGCTTCAGGGCCCTGTTGATGTGCACCATGGCGGCGTTCACGTAGTTGTGGAAAGCTTCCGAGGATAGCGTGATGTCCACATCCAGGTAGGCTCTTCCGGGACAGGAGACAAGAGTCACACGTCTCACAGGGCAACGCCAGGGGCTCTGGCAGCACGGCAGCCTCCTAGGCAGCGACGCTGGCCCGGGGGCAGGGGGGTGGAGGGACTTCTGTCACTCAGGGGAGACACCGGGTGTCTGCTGTGCCCATGCTCGGTGTAACTTTATGGCTCCGGGAAGCCGGGCTGACTTAAGAGTTATGAGTCCAGAATCCACAGGCCCCAAAATCAGTACATGATAAAGCATTACAAAGTGTTCACCATTTTTTAAAAATTCTTTTGGAAAATCATATCTTATTGGTGACCCTACATGGAGATATATGCTTCTGATTTTTCTTTTTAGGTTTTTTTTGGTATAGTCATGTCCAAGTAATTATTTATTTATTTTTTAAAATACTGACTGAAACACAATAGCTCGTTACAGATGCTTTCAATGTTACCACACCTTTGTGCTATAACTGATCTATTTATTGTTTATTGAAAATTATGTTTGTGGACGTATTATACTATTTACGACTTTCATTCCCATATAATAAAGGGAGCAAAGCATATTTGTTGCAAAGCAAGGAGGTTGCAGAAGTTGCATTAGACGGTTTTGAGGGTCGCACAAGCATTGAAAGATCCCAGCTTCGTGCCCAGCTTCGTGCCCAGGGGGACCATGTGCTCCTGCAGTAGCTACAGCTGCCCGCTGCCTACCAGACACTGCTTGGTGCCACAGTGCTAAGGACGGTCAGGACTATGTTTGCTTTAAGAAGCTTAGAGTCTTACAGAGAAACAGAGTGATAACAGACACGTATTCCTTCATTAAGAATATGCTTACTGCCAACGCAAGAGTTTTAAATGGCAGATGTTGTAACTTAACACAACTGAGCGACCGGACGTGGTAAGCGGGCAGCTGTCACGCAGCGGGGACCCGTTGAGACACCTGAGCTCTCAGAAACAGCACAGCTCATTCCCTCACTCACTGGACAACTCCAGATTTATTAAAATTAACTTTCAAGCTATTTCCAATGCCACATATACAGTTCAAATTCTGTTTTCACCAAGAGAAAACAGAGGGATGAGAGAGCAGTAGCCAGAAGCCCACTAGGCTGCACGAGGCGTTCCTTCTCTGAGTAAAGGGCTTTTAGGAAACAGTCAGCTGCTGTAGTGGCCTACTGCTCTGCAGGGAAACAGGGGAGGAAGCATTTGCCAGCGGCCAGTGGAATGGCTTAGCTGGCTAGTCCTCTGCTGCAAGTGCTGGCATCTCACATGGGCGTTGGTCTGTCCTGGCTGCTCCACTTCCCATCCAGCTCCCTGCTGGTGGCCTGGGAAAGCAGCGCAGGATGGCCCAGGTCTTGGGGACCCTGCATCCACACAGGAAATCTGGAAGAAGCTTCTGGCTCCTGGCTCTGGCTTTGGATGGGCTCAGTTCCGGCTGTAGTAGCCACCTGGGGAGTGAACCAGTGGATGGAAAATCTTTTTGCCTCTTCTCTGTAAATCTGCTTCTCTAATAAAAATAGATAAATCTTAAAAAGAAAAGAAAACGTGCCAAAGTAGCAGTCTAATCAGAGGAGCTAGAAGTGCATCGTAGACGCCCAGGACCTACCGACTTGCCTCTGGCATAAGGGCGGACAGCAGCAGGACAGAGGCAAGCCCCAAGGGCACGGCCTCCACCACAATGTGCCCATCTAGGGCCTCACCTGGCGAGGCTCCCCCACAGACTGGGGACCCCTGGAGGCTGCTCCCAGTGCTCTGCCTTCCTTACCCTGCTCAGAAACTTAAGAGTCCTCCTTGGTTTTCCGGTGTGAGCCTCCAGTTTGTCAGCAGTCCATCTCTGCTACCCTGGCACGCCTAAGGAGGCTCTCCAGGTCCCATCACCCCGCCTCTGAGCCGCACCGCACCCTGCGATGTGTTGTGTGTTAGACCTTGGCTGCTGTGCGCAAGCACTGTGATCCTTGAACTCACTTGAATGGGTGGCCTTCTTCCGACTTCTGCACGGCTTGGATGACGGACTTGTAGACCCTGAAGCTGATGGTGACAGACAGAAGAGCCAGGATGAGGTAAGAGACCACACTGATGACGCTGAAGGCGGCCAGGGAGAGCAGCATGATGAGCGTGGTGCCGAAGACAAAGCCCGTCTTCTTCACATCTCGCCAGAAGATCAGGTCGTGCACTGCCGCAGGCAAGGAGACAAGCGGTATGAACACAGACAGCCGCCGGCCGAGGTGGACCACTCCCAGCTCTGCCCCCAGCTCTGTGCTGCACACCCGGGGAGCACTCGGCACTCACAGGCACACACACAGCCGCTTAGTAACGCCAACTGAAAGTGAACACAGCCAGCCACCGGCTCTCTGCTGCACACCCGGGGAGCACTCGGCACTCACAGGCACACACACAGCCATTTAGTAACGCCAACTGAAAGCATAGACTCCGGGATGTGGGCGTCCCATGAGCTCCTGGTTCCTGGTGTCAGCCTAGCCCTGCCCCGGCTGCTGCAGCCAGAAGGAATGCAAACAGATCAGCCGTGCAGCGTTAGGCTCTGTCAGTCTTAGGAGAAGCCCAGGATGATGAGCAGACTAAAATGCTTCTGAGGGTGAGAGGGACACGATTAGTGATGCTGTGGGAAGCTGCACGGACCAGCACCAACCCAGGCAAGCGGGCCTTTTACACGGACTGGGAATGTCCAGGCTCTTAGTAAAGCACCTCAAAGACCAGCTGACGGGCTGCTGGTACCCCATCAATGACACGAGCGTGGGCATGTCAGCCCCCTGAAAGGACGCCTCAGCACTATGGCCCCACTCGGAGTGCCCTCTCTTTGCTGGTAGGGCTCTGGGGCCAGAGAGGCGGGACTAGAGTTCTGCTGTGTAACCACACTGCCTTAACCTTTCCACACCTCCACCTCCTCATTTGTAAAATGTCTAAGGAATACATCAGCCAATGCCTTCAGAACCTGCTCCAACGTTAGCTATAATCACCAACAGGACAAGAAGAAACAGCAAAATTGGAGACAATGAGTTCACCCAACCCTAATCTTGATCAACCATGTAATCATTATACAAGATAAAATAAAATAAAAATCACCAACAGGAAGGCCTGGGAGGCCCCGGTGTAAGCTGACGCCATGACACCATGCTCTCACCCACTTGCAGCTGAGTTCCCTCTACACTGATCTGAGGCATAACCCAGGTGGACACAAGAAACACTAAAGGATACCAGCTTACGGGAGAAACGCTGCCACTCTCAGCCCACTCAGGGAGGTGACCTCAGAGAAGCAGTGTTTTCATTCCTGATCGGAAATGCTGAAGTGGCAAGAACAAAACGGGGCGACAGGGAGGACACAGTGGGGCGGCAGGGGAAGGCACTGCGGGCAGCAGGCGAGGGCACGGGGTAGGGAGGGCACAGTGCGGTGGCATGGAGGACTCAGGGGCGGCAGGGGAGGGCATGGGGTAGGGAGTGCACTGTGGGATAGGGGAGGGCACGGCAGGATGGTGGGCTAGGTCCATGTCCCATACTGGGCACTGAGTCAAATCTGCGTGCCTGCTTCTTGCTAAGGCACACCCTGGCAGGCGGCAGATCATGTCTCAAGTGCTTGAATCCCCACCATCCAGGAGGGAGAGCTGAATGAAATTTCTGGTTGTTTATAAAGGCAGACTGGGCCTAGCACAATTACCTAGCAGCTCAAGTCCTCACCTTGAACACGCCAGTTCTAATCCCGGCGGCTCTGTTTCCCATCCAGCTCCCTGCTTGTGCCCTGGCAAAGCAGTCAAGGATGGCCCAAAGCTTTGCCACCCTGCACCCCATGGGAGACCTGGAGGAGGCTCCCGTCTTAGGACTGGCTCCGCTCTGGCTGTTGCAGTCACTTGTGGAGTGGTGTGTGTGTGTGTGTATGCGTGCGCACTTCTCAGTTTTTTCAAATAAATAAAAATGAATAAACTTGATCACAACAGCTGAGGACAAGTCAGGTTGCAGGCAAGAGGTAAGAGCTTCTTCCAAGTCTTCCACCTGGGTTCAGGAGCCCAAGCATTTAGGCCATTTTCCACTGCTCTCCCAGGCTCATTAGCAGGGAACTGGATTAAAAGTGGAGCAGTCAGGGCTTGGCGCGGTAGTTTAGAGGCTAAAGTCTTCACCTTGCATGTGCCCGGGATCCCATATGGGTGCCAGTTCTAATCCCGGCAGCTCCACTTCCCATCCTGCTCCCTGCTGTGGCCTGGGAAAGCAGTTGAAGATAGCCCAAAGCCTTGGGACCCTGAATCTGTGCGGGAGACTCGGAAGAAGCTCCTGGCTCCAGCTGTTGTGAATCAGTGGATGGAAGATCTTCCTCTCTGTCTCTCCTCTTCTCTGTATATCTGCCTTTCAAAAAAAAAAAAAAAAATCTATAAATAAATCTTAAAAAAAATAAGATCAAATGGATCATCCAGAAACCAGTGCCCATTTGGAATGCTACCATGGCAGGCGATGACAGGAGAATAAGGAGACACAGTAATACATGGTTGCCACGTGAGATTCTAGTCCGGACCCTGGTCACTTGGGGGGATGAATCATCAGATGGAAGATCTTCCTCTCTCTATATCTGACTTTGCAACAAAAATAAATGAAAAATAAATAAACACATAAATCAATAAATAAACAAACAAATAAATAAATAATTCAAAACAATTTTCAGGAGTAAAAAAACGGAATGTTACTGCAGCAGCTAGAAGCAGCCTGTTTCCAGGCTGGCAGACAGAGACGGATGAAGCTGCTGAGGCCAAGCGCCAACTAGCGGTGAGCCAGAGCAGGCGAGGCTGCGTGGTGGGTTTCTATTTTCTAAATATATTGCCTACAATCCTAACATTTTGAAATTTCAATGTTCGGGACAGAAAGAACAGACAAGAAAAGCAAAGGACTAAGCTAAAGGAACGAGGCTGGCGCCACGACAGAAAAGGACCTTGAAGTGTCAGGGAAGGAACAAGGAATAAAGGCATAAGCCTAAACGCAAATTACAATTTTCTACTCTAACACAAATTAGAAAAAGCCATCCAGTTCCGTGAACTTTACTGCCACCTGCTGGAACATTTTTGTTAAGAAATATCCAAGAAATAGGCAAAGGAAATGAGCAGGCATTTCTAGAAAGAACAAATTCAAATGGCTGATGGACATATGAAAAAAGGCTCTGGTTCCTTACCTATTTAGAAAAGCACAAATAAAAACCACATCGAAGGGCCTGGCATGGTAGCCCAGTGGCTAAAATCCTTGTCTTGCAGGCACCCCAATCCCATATGGGTGCAGGTTCCTATCCTGTCTGCTCTACTTTCCTTCCAGCTCCCTGCTTGTGGCCTGGCAAAGCAGTCAAGGACGGCCCAAAGCTTTGCCACCCTGCACCCACGTGGGAGACCTGGAGGAGGCTCCTGGCTTTGGACTGGCTCTGCTCTGGCTGTTGTAGTCACTTGTGGAGTGAACCAGCGGACAGATCTCTCTCTCTGTAAATCTGACTTCCCAATAACAGTTAAATATATCTTTTTAAAAAAGATTTATTTGTTTTTATTGCAAAGTCAGACATACAGAGAGGAGGAGAGAAAGGGAGGAGGATCTGAAGCCAGAAACCAGGAACTTCTTCCGGGTCTCCCACACGGGTGCAGGGTCCCAAGGCTTTGGGTTGTCCTTGACTGCTTTCCCAGGCCACAAGCAGGGAGCTGGATGGGAAGTGGGGCTGCCGGGATTAGAACCGGTGCCCATATGGGTCTCAGCACGTGCAAGGTGAGGACTTTAGCCTCTAGGTCACCGTGCTGGGCCCTCAGTGCTAACATCCCATGCGGATGCTGGCTTGAGCTCAGCTGCTCCACTGCTGCTCCAGCTCTGCTAACGCACCTGGGAAAACAGTGACTCAGTGCTTGGAACCCTGCACCCATGAGGGAGACCCGGCGGAAGCTTCTGGTTCCCGACTTTGGACTGGCCCAGGCCCAGTCACCGAGGCCATTTGTGGAGTGAACCTGCTGATGGAAGATCTCTTTTCCTCTCTGTGTACTCTGCCTCTCAAATAGGTAAATATTTAATTAAAGAAAAAAGAAACACCCGGATCTATTAGGACAACACTGGAGGAGTATCCGCTGGCAGCGCAGGTATAACCTGCCTAACAGCACAGAGGGGCCTGGGCTCGGCTCGCAGCTAAAACAGGATAACAGCTGGGTCAGGCAGGGAGACTCTGGGAATGAAAGCAGACTGACCGAGGAAGAGCTTGGAAAAGATGGTCCAACATAGCAGGCTTCACAGGTCCTGGTTCCTGGGCTGTCAGCTCAGAGACGTCCTATTCTAACACACCAACCATCGTGTCTGAGCTCGTGGTGTAGCTCAGCGGGTTAACCTTCTGCTCGTGACACTGGCATCCAATGGGAGTGCTGGTTCAAATAATTTTTTTTTAAGGAAAGATATACTTATTTTTATTGGAAAGTCAGATATACAGAAAGGAGACAGAGAGGAAGATCTTCCATCCGATGATTCACTCCCCAAGTGACCCCAATGGCCGGTGCTGCGCTGATCCGAAGCCAGGAGCCAGGAGCCTCCTCCAGGTCTGCCACATGGGTGCAGGATCCCAAGGCTTTGGGCCGTTCTCGACTGCTTTCCCAGTTCACAGGCAGGGAGCAGGATGGGAAGCGGGGCCGCCAGGATTAAAACTGGTGCCCATATGGGATCCTGGCACATGCAAGGCGAGGACTTTAGCCACTAGGCTACTGCGCCATACACTGAAATAAAATTTTTAAAAATGAAAAAAGAACACCTACTGGTTAATTTGTTATAGCTCTTCCTGTCTGTAAGTGAATGCTCAAACATGGGCCACGCGAATGACTATGGGATGGTGAAACCACTATTTCCAGGTAATCCCAGATGCCCTCCCCTCAGTCAATTCCACACATGAACTCTCCGTGCTGGAACCACTGAGCACGACGGAGCAAGGCCTCTGGTTAGGAACGCCAAGGAAATGAACCTGGCATGCGCTTTGGAAACTTCCTCTGTGATCCCCTGGGAAAGGGGAGGACCAAAATATGAGGAAGGAGCGAGGGAAGAGGCAGCTGCCAAGCCTGAGGAGCAGCCACGCGCTTCAGAGCCAGGAAGTAGCGGCCAGTGGCAGTGCCGGGCGTCAGGCAGGCTCCTCTGCTCTAACCCATCTGTTCCTGCCCTCAGTCGAGCCCCTCTTTC